AGCTTCCTTCAATATTCCAGATAAATGACTGCAATACATTCATTCATAGCCCTAGTGCCTTGAGAGAGATCTCCACTCATCTCATGTCAGTTGGGGGGGCTCTACAAAGGTTGGGAGATCTCACCAAGAAACTCAGAAAGCCTACATTCAACAATTGGTGTTTTAAAGTAGCACTGCACTGGAGAGGATGAGACTGTGGGCTGCAGAGTTAGACTGCCCGGGTTTGAAGTCCATTCCAAAGTCATACCTTGAGGAAGGTACTTAAAATTCCTGTTTCCTCAACTAAAACAAGTGAATCCTAGTACCTACCTGACAGGTTGAGGTGAGGATTAGATAAGTTAATACATGTTAAAAAAGGTTTTCAAGCAGTGCTGGGCACATGGAAAGTTCTTAATCATCATCAGTTATCAATTATTGTAGCTATGTACATGGTATAGTGCCAAGTATCAGAGGCAGGGAGGTAGGAAAACAATAATAAAAACCGCCCCTTTCCTCTAAAAAGAGCCAAATATAGGGGGAGACAACTCTTATTCTATACCAGCACTGTCTGGAAGAAACAGGATATAAGCCACAAACATAATTTTAAATTTGCTAGTAGCTCTATTTGAAAAGGCAAAAAAGAGGTGAAATTAATCTATCTATACATGCTTTTAAAAAAAAAAAAAAAATTCCCCATCCACTGGGGTTTGAACCCAGGGGTGCTCTATCACTGAGCTACAAACCGTTTTATTTTGAAAAAGGGTCTCTCGATTTGGGTTACATTTCAAGTGTTCTCTAGCCATGTGAGACTGCTGGTTATTGCAGCGGCCAGCACAGTTCTATATTATTCCTGGCTACTCAGGAGGCTGAGGCAGGAGGATTGCAAGTGGAAGTCTATTTGCACAACTTAGTGAGACACTGTCTAAAAAAAAAATTTAAAACGCTGTGGATGTAGCTGAGTGGTAGAATGCTTGCCTAGAGTGCACAAGGGTCTGAGGTCAATTCCCAGTACCACAAAAAACACCAACGAAACCACCAGAATTATAATATAGTCTGCTGGCCACATCCATGGGTTCTACCTCTGGGGATCCAATCAACAGAAAATCTTCAGGAAAAACCCTCTACTGAACGTATAGGACTTTGTTTCTTGCCATTATTCACTAAACAATACAGTATAACAACTATTTACACAGCCTTTACACTGTATTAAATATTATAAGTAATCTAGAGAGGATTTAAAGTATACAAGAAATACAAAAAGACAGTGTGTAGATTATATTCAAGAACTATGCCATTTTATATGAGGGACCTGGACATCTCAAGATTTTGGTATTTTAGTTGTGTGTGGGGAGGGGGGTCCTGAAACTAATCCCCTACAGATTATAATGGATGACCCTACTTCACATTAATTCTTAAGATCATTCATTCCTCAATTATGTACTATTCCTTCCCTTGATGAGCTTACAATCTAGGGGAAATAAAAATAGTCAGACAACCACAATAAAGTGGCCATAAAGGGGCTCAGCCCTAACTGCTATCAGAGTAACACAGACCTATCTCAAGTATGCCTGGATTATAAGAGAAAATCCGTTTCTCTTTTTTTTTTTTTTTTTTTGTGCACTGGGGGTTGAATCCATGGGCATTTACCACTGAGCTACATCCCCAGACTTCTTGAGACTGTTTCATTAAGTTGCCCAGGCTGGCCTGGATCTTGCGATTCTCCGGTCTCAGCCTCTCCAGTAGCTAAGAATACAAGTGTGTTCCACCATGCGGGTCACAAAATTCTCATTTTTGAATCAATCTGTGAGGCACAGTGGAAAACCAAGAATAACTGGTGAACACTTTTCAAATACTACAATGCTGAGAAAAACACCGTAGAAAAAACCGCCTCCTCTTAGGGGAGAGGAAACCTAAGGATCCCGGGTAGTGTGTGTGTGTGTGTGTGTGTGTGTGTTTACAAGGAAGGAGGCCGACAAGGAATTTCTCTTCCCAGGAAAGATGGAGTGTCTTTTTAGGGTCCCAGGCCCCCAGGCCCCCAGGCCTTTGCTCCGGGCTGAACTCAGTGCAAGTACTCCAAGTCCAACGCCCCAGGGGTCCTGGTACTCCAGGGCTTAAGGGAGTTCCCTTTGGAAGGCTGAGCCGAGGAAGGCACCCAGCTCGGCACCCAACTCGGCACCCAACTCAGCCGGGGAGGCGTGCGCGGCGCTGCAGTGAGGCCGGCGCCCCCGAGGCGGGGTCCACCCTTCGCGGGCGGCTCAGAGGAACGGGTGATTGCGACCGGGAAGGAGACCCCAAGGCGCCGCGGCGGGGCCGGAGCTCACTGATGGCCGGCCTTCTCGGCGCCTGGCACGCACGGCGGGCTGAAGGGTCTGGGGTCTCCTGGGGGACCCGGGGGGACGGGCACCGCCTCGCGGGGTGGGGATCAGGTGGCGTCCCAGTCGTGGGGCCGGTACTGAGGCGACTCCACGTTCCAGACGCGCGGCTTCCCCGGACTCCCCCCCCACGGACCAGGCTGGCGGTGAGTCTGGACATTCCGCCGCCTCGTAGGGGTCGGTGCCAGGCCCCAGACTCACCGCCCGGCTTCGGCCAAGGGCCCAGCTGCAGCCGCCAGCGCCCGTACCGCCGCCTCAGGCCCCCGGCCCCACCACCCGCCTTCCCCGCTGTCCTCTACGCCGGGAGGGAGAGAGGGCGGCCTTCCAGCCCTAAAGACCAATCGCAAGGCGTAAAAACAAGATAGACTGAAGCACACACCAATAGTGATGAAGGAGAAGTGAAGCTTCAGGACCCGGCTTCTCCAGGGGGCGGGGACTGTTCAAATAGACAAACCACGCGGCCAGTGGCAGGAGAAAGGTGGTTTAGATACACTCGGGAGAACCAATCGGTGGTGAGTTGATGTCTATCACTTCCACGCACACTTCCGGTGCATCGCTACTATGATTCCCCTCTGCTTGGGGCAGTGGCGGTGTGGAATCAGCTGGTGGCTAAGATCCGTGGCGGGGGTTCGCGACCGCTCTCCCTTGTGATTCTTGAGGAGAGGGTGTGACCGTTGCACGCGCCCTCTAATTACTGCAGCAGCAGATGTACAGCCCCAGGGCTAGCTCTATTTAGTGGTTCGTGATTTTTGTTAAATTTAGTGTGCATTTGGAAATGTTTTTAGATTTTCTCACTTCCTGAAATCACGAGATCATCCTCGAGAAACCATTGCTAAGTTTTAACTAAAAGAACTAGTAAGTTAAAAAAAAATCAAAGAACATCATTTTAAAAATTATTTGAAAAAAAAAAGAATGGAAAAAAGGAAAAAAAAAAAAAAAAAAAAAGGAATAAGATTCCACCCCTCTTGGGGGGGGGGGGGGGGCGGTACTGAATATTGAATCCAGGGGCCCTCTCCCACTAAGCCACCTCCCCAGCCCTTTATTTTTTTATTTTAAGACAGGTTTGCTGAGACTGACCTGGAACTGGTGCTCTTCCTGCCTCCGGATTACCGGTGTGCACTACACAACTGGCCTGGTTTGGATTTCTTAAATGATTTTTGAATAAAGGATCCCATGTTTTAATTTGCATTGGGCACTGCAAATTATGTAGTTAGTCCTATATACTTGTATGCTATATATATATGCATTATAACTTACACTGATATAAATTATGTGTAGCACTCATTTTTACAAATAACATGTACGATATTCTTTATTGTAAATTCCATATTGCTAGTTTTCACAGTGTACTTTCTTTGATAATATGTATCTTCCCTGTGGTTGCAGTTAACCAATGAGTATAGTTCTGACACGAATGCTGGTTGATATTTTTTTTAATGTTAATCAGAAAGGGTAAGTGGGCTAATCAATAGATATGTCAGGACCTCACTAGTGTGGCAAGGCCATGAGCCATGAGAAACTCTGCTGAATTGGATAGAAGAATGATTCTTCAAATCTTTGGTGTCATTCACAATATAATACTACAGAGCAGACACACTTAAGTTTTATCTGCCTTATTAACTTTTTCGTTGCCACTTTCTCAAGTCTTAGCGACTTAACAGTTATCAAGCATTTGCTGATTTGCCTGGTGTAAATATTCCCACCCTGGCAGATTGCCAGCTGCCAACAAATGTGACTGAATGAAAAGTTGGGAAAAGGTAAACACAGTCCCCAGTTTTCAGTAGTTTGATTTATATTTTTTCAGCTTTACAGTGGTGCAGAAGCACACCATACAATCACAGTTTTCCACTTTTTGTATTTAATAAATTACAGGAAATACTGGCCTGGCATGGTGGTGTACACCTGTATACCCCATGACTAGGGAGGCTGAGGCAGGATTGCCAAGTTCGAGGCCAGTTCCAGCAACTTAGTATGGATCCTTCCTCAAAATAAAAACTTAACAATTAATAAAGAAAAAGGCTGGGGATGTAGCTTAGTCATATAGCACCCCTGGGTTCCATCCCAAATAAATGCATAACAGAGCTAGTCAACACTTCATTATAAAAAACATTTTATGTTAGACAATTTTGCCTAACTGTGGGCTAATGTGTTTTTGAGCGTGTTTAAGGTGGCAAGGCTACGATTCACAGGCTAGGTGTATTACTGAGTGTGTTTTCGATGTACAAGATTTTCAACGTAGGATGGATTCACTGGGACAACCGTTCCCATCGTAAGTCAAGCAGCATCTGTATTTCCACAAGGCAGACACACGCGGCATAACGGGAATAGTGTCAGCTCACAAGAGCCCAGTAAATTGTTGCATGAGTAAATTAGCGAATCTTATATGAATGAGCGAAAGTGCCCGCTAAATCGCAAAGCCCTGCGCCTTGGGGTCTCGGGATGCTAAATGAAGCTGTTCACAGCAGTCGGGAAGCAGCAGGGCAGGGTGCGCAGGAGAAGTCGCGGATCCCGGGTTGCAGCGGGGTCCCGCCCCTCGGCCCCGCCCCACCCTCCTGCGCGCCTCGGCTCGGCTCGGCTCGGCTCGGCTCCGCTCGGTCCGGTCCGGCCCTGCGCACGCCGCGGCCTCGGTTTCCGGGCGGGCCTCCTGAGGCCGGCGCACAAGATGGCGGCCCCGGCGGCTCGCTGGAGAAGGCCGAGGCGGGGTCTTGAGCTCTAGCCTCGGGCGGGGGCCGGAGATAGGCCTCGCCTACAGGCGGGTGGTCGGGGCGGCGCCACCAGGCCTCGAGGAGTGCAAGTCCCGCTGGTTGCTGCCCCCAGCCCCACCGCCACTCAGCCCTGCCCCGGGTAGAACCCAAGAAAGGTCAGGCCCGGTAGCCCCGCCTGTCCTCGCCTCCGGGCGGTAACTGCGAGTGGCGCGCCCTTAGGGTTGATTTTAGCCACGTGCAGCCTCCATGGCTGCGTTGCAGGCCCCGGGGGAGAAGATTAACATCCAGACGGGAGAGACGGCCAAGGCCGGCGACCGCGACCCGCTGGGGAACGACTGGCCCGAGCAGGACAGGCCACCCCAGCGCTCCTGGAGGCAGAAGTGCGCCTCCTATGTGCTGGCGCTGAGGCCCTGGAGCTTCAGTGCCTCGCTCACCCCGGTGGCCCTGGGCAGTGCCCTCGCATACAGATCCCAGGGCGTCCTGGACCCTAGGCTGTTGGTGGGTTGTGCCGTGGCTGTCCTGGCTGTGCACGGGGCCGGCAATTTGGTCAACACTTACTATGACTTTTCCAAGGGCATTGACCACAAAAAGAGTGATGACAGGACCCTGGTGGACCGCATATTGGAGCCCCAGGATGTTGTTCGGTTTGGAGTCTTCCTCTACACCCTAGGTTGTGTCTGTGCCGCTTGCCTCTACTGCCTGTCCTCTCTGAAACTGGAGCACTTAGCTCTCATCTACTTTGGAGGCCTATCTGGCTCTTTTCTCTACACAGGAGGTAAGAATTGGCCTGTTTCCTGTGTTGCTGGTCTCAGTTGCATGTACTGGAAACTGCTGCTTTGCATAGGAATTGTAGACATAAGGAAGGTTCCTTCCTAAATTAGGCTACTTTATCTAAAATCTGTAATGTGTGGTTCATGAATGTTTTGAGAACAGTAAATTGTGAAGATCCTGGCTTGGATAGTGGGCTTGACTCTCATAGATGTATCGACATTTTGTATCTAGTTTTCATTTTGTTGAGCCAGTATTCTATAATACCACAGTTTCGAATTGTGGAATTAAATCTGTAGAGCTCAAAATTATATAGCTAATAACTTCCAGCTAGCTTGTTAGGTGACATCTCGTAGCAGACTGATTAAGGTGATGGGCAGTAGGGTTGGGCATATAAGCCCTATTTATTGTGCTATGTACTAGTCTATGTACACCTAGTAGGCACAGATCCCTGCCCTTCTGGAACTTTTTATATTGGAGAGAGAAAGAAAAAATAGATTGATCAGCATTCTGTTTTGCTCAGGACTAGGGGGGTTCCCTGGAAGTGGGCTTTTGTTGGTCATCCTACTTATAGTACAGTTATGTATTTCTAAATGGCGGGAATACATTCTGACAAATGTATCATTAAGCAATTTTGCCCTTGTGGGAATGTCATAATAGAGTATACTTATACAAACCTAGATGGTAAGGTCAGTCGCTCATATCGCCTCTTGATGCAGTCAAGAGACATGGTAGACATGAGACACATGAGGCTGCTGCTGGCATGATCCAGCATGCTATCTTATAGTAAACGTTCCTTTAATACATTGAAGAGTATACTCTTAAAAATAATGGTAAAATAGTACCCCCACTCCCAGTACTGGGGATTGAACCCAGAGATGCTCCCATTGAACTACATCCCTAGTCCTTTTATTTTATTTTATTGAGACAGGCTCTTTCTAAGTTGCTGAAGCTGCCCTGGAACTTTCTATCCTGCCTCAACTGGGACTATGGGCTGTTTAATCTTCTTTTGTTTTCTTAATCCATTTTAATCCTATGAGACCATCTTTCCATATTTGGTTTTGGTTCATCATTGAGTGAGTGTTGTAGTGTTGTTTTGCAGCCCATGATATGAGAGGTGATAAGTGATTTAGTGGTGGAGAAGTAGAACAGAGAAGGGGCACCCAAGTTACTATTTTAAGTAGTTTGTTCAGGGTGAGCCTCATCAAGACTGAAGCAGGTAAGAGGTGAGGGAGTTGGCTACACAGCTATCTGGGGGAACAGCATTCTAGGAGAAGGGGACAGCAAGTCCTAAGTGCCTCCAGGCAGGAGTGGGCCCGAAGAGTTTGAGGAACAGTAAGGAGTCCAGTTGGTGGAAGGGGTTTGGGGAGGGGAGGGAGTCACAGATTAAATGGGCTTTTTAGGCCACTGGACTTTATTCAAGTGGAGAGACCATTGCAGGTTTTTGAGTAATTGAGTGATATGATGTGACTTCATGTTTTAAAAGACTCTCTGACTAAGGTAATGAAAATGGATAAAGGGGAGTAGGCCAAGAGTAGAAGAGGGAAGACTAAGCAGAAAGCTCTTGAGTAATCCAGGCAGGATGTTTGGATCTTGCCTTGGGTCAGGGTGGTGGTGGTGGGGAGTGATTCTGAACACATTATGAAGCTAGGCAGGGTTTGCTGATGGGTTGGGTGTGAGGTTGAGAAAATCAGAAATTAAGCATAACTCAAAAGTTTTAGCCTGAGCAACTGGGAGATAAAGATGATAACATGTGAGATGGAGAAAGGCAAGGCTAGAATAGATTAGGGGGGATCAGGAGATTGGAGCTCTAACTGCCATTAAGATATCCAAAGTCAATCTCTTGACAGATGTCAAATCGATAGTTGGATTTATAGAGAGTTTTCAAGTTCAGAAATGAGATCTGGTTAGAGATGAAGGTACTTGGAAGTCATTGGCCTTTAGGTGAAGTTGTAGGACTGAGCCAGATCATGAAAGGGGGCAGTGTTGGTAGAAAAGAGTTGAAAACCAGGACTGAGCCCAACTTAAGAGGTGGAGGAGATAAGAAGGACAAGGTAAAGGGGACTGAGAATAAGCATCTAGAGAAGTAGGAGAAAAGCCAAGGGACCAGGGTGTACTGGCAGTCAGTTTTAAATTTTGGGCAATTTAAAACATTCAATAAAGGAAATTAATAGAAAGCTATGAAAGAGTATAAGATGGTAATAGTGAAGGGAAGAGGCCCTTGGTATTAGTTGGCTTTTTGTTACTGTAACAAAATACCTGAAATAACCAACTGAAAAAGAAGAAATGTTTATTTTGGCCCTACAGTTTTGGAAGTTTCAGGCAATGGTTGGTTGGCCCATTGCTTTTTGGCCTGTAGTGAGACAGTACATCTTGGTGGGATGTACTTTCCTTTGTGTGGCAAAGGAAATCTCTTTACCTCATGGCCAAGAAGGAAAGAGAACAAGATGAAGGGGCTGGGCACCCAAGATTCCCTACAAGGACAAGTTCCCAGGGACTGAAAAACCTCCCACAAGGTCTCACCTCTTAAAGATTTCCCACCTGCCAGTACACTATGGGCTAGAAACCAAACCTTTAACACTGTGCTTTTGGGGGGGGACATTTATCCAAGCTGTAGCACTTCCTTGGAGCAGGTGACATTTAAGCTAAGACTTGAAGCCTAAGGAGGAGGCCAGAATTGGAGTCTGATTGCAGTGATTGTTTCAGGGCTGACAGGCCGGCAAGTGCAAATGTCCTGGGTGGGAGGGAGCTTCACAGTGTATAGGATCTTCCAAAAGGCCAGTGTGGTCCAGAGGAGAATGAGATGCTGGTCTCAGAGTTCTTCGTCTGCTCTCCTGACTGCTAGCCCGGCCCAGTACTATCTCCACTTACTTCCTTGGTGACTTTAGCCAGTCTCATGACTTCATATACCATCTAGTAACCTGGCAACTGTCATGCTCCAACCTTTTTTTTTTTTTTTTGGCAAGGGAGGGTGTCTGGGGTTGAACTGGCCTCACGTGTGGCCTGGTGCTACCATTGAGCTACACCAGCCCATATCCATTTCTTAGCAACCCTAGAGGTCTCAGATATCGCCAGCTTAACATGTCTGAGATCAAATTCTGATCTCTCCAATGATGCCTGCTAAACCCACAGCTTTTCCCACAGCTGCCCCTCACCCGCTCATCCCACCTCCTGCAATCCCCACTCTGTGTGTGGAACCCAGAGGTTGGGCCAGTCCTCTACCACTGACCTCCAGCCACTCCCTGCCAACTTCCTACCATCACCAAGATCACCTCTCCCTGGACAATTGTGGCAGGCTCCTAACTGGTCTTTTTGCATCTTCCCTGGGTCTTTCTGGTGTTCCCAGAGGAGCAGCCAGAGGAGCTGTTAACATATGGCCCTTGGTCGGTCCTCTGCTGGGAGCTCTTCAGTGTGGCCCGCCTCATTTGGACCTGCCTCCTCCTCCTCCTCCGTTCCTCCTGCCCACTCTGAGCCAGTCACCCTGCTTTCCTTGTGGGCCTGGAACCTGCCAGCCATTGCCTGCCTCAGGACCTAGGCAGGTGCTGTTCTCCAGTTGGGAACGCTCTTCTCCATCTACCTCACCTCTTCCACCGTTTGCTCAAACACCAGCTTCTTTGTAGGCCTTGCCTTCTACTTGTTGAAATCATCCACCTTCCCCATGCAGTCCCTCTACCCCAGTGTCATCCCCGTGGCTCTTCTCTGCTTTATTTTTCGGCACAGCACATATTACTTTCCAACGTGCATGTAAAATACTTACTGGGCTGATCCTTTCCCCGTGACGGTGCATCTTTTTGTTCTCACCCTCAGTGCCCAGCATGGCGCTAGCATGTGGTGCTTAATTAAAAGCTCTCACCAAATGAACAAGTGGGGACCCTTTGAAGACACTGAGTGATGGCATGGTCTGATATACCTGTTTTAAACATTGGCTTTTTGATGTCTAGTTGACATGCAGTGAAAGGCACAGCTCTGCAGAGTTGCAGTTTGGTGATCTTGACCTGTGTATACAGCTGCGTAACCCATGCCCTTATCGTGAGGCAGAACATTTGCGTTACCCCAGAAGCTTGCTGGGCTCTCCTGCAGTCCCACTCTGTCCCACTGGTGTAGAGTACCGTGCGGGTGCCATTCCATGAGGACCATGCGTGTCTTGGCCGCGTGCTTCAGTGTGCTTCAGGTCTGGCTTTTGCCCAGGGTGAGGTTTCAGAGCTCTGGTTGTGACTGGTGGTGGCTCCCTGCAGTGCTGTGCGGTTCCAGCTGTGAGCCTACCTCAGTCTGGGTCTGTCCTCCGTTCAGGGCCTCTGGCGGTTCCCGGGTTCTGGCGTTAGGACTGCAGGTTCATGCTCAATCTTTGTGGATATTCGCTTTCTTTTCTTCTGGATAAGTGCCTCGAAACGGACCCGCTGGGGCTCAGGGCGGGTGATGTTGATTTTGTGAGAACTCCAAGCTCTTTTCTGAGGTTGTCCTGCGTGTTCCCACTACTCTCAGTTCCACGCGAGAGTTCCGGGGGCCTCGCATCCTTGCCCACCTTTGATTCATGTCTGAGCAGGTAACTGTGGCTGCTGAGTAGAGCCCTGGCTGGCATTCACGGTGCTGGGTCATCAGAAGATGGTGCCGGGAGGGCTGCGAAGGCCTGGGAGAAACTCCCGGCGGGGAATCTCTGATCGAGCCCTGGTCAGGCCTCCCATGCTCCAGCGTGTCGGGTGACCTCGGGGAGGTTATCGGACCTTCTCACTCGCAGAGTGGGCTGTGCTTGACTTCCGTGGAGGGCCTGTTTAAGTGGGTCACAGGTTTCCCTGAGGAGTGTTCTCCGAGGATCCAGCTGAAGGTCAAGGCCATTGCACTGCTGTTGCATTTTCTCCCACAGTCAGCTCTGGGCTCAGAGCTGAGGAAAGAGGTGAGAAGCAGTGGCAGAGCCTGGCGGGGAGTGCTCCTGCCTGGGTCTTCTTGGGCAGAGGAGTCCCCAGACGTGTGAGATTGCCGATACAGCTAACTAACTCAGGCCTGGGCCTGGGGCTCTGCTTGAAGGAACCCTCTGGAGGACATGTCCTTAGAGGATCAAGTTACTAGTTAGCGCTTGGCTTGGGGCAGGGAGTTAGCTGCTGGTGCTGGAGAGCTCGGGGCCACGCCTGTGGTGCCTCTGGGTTGCTGCATTTTGAAGAACTGAGGGTGGTCAGTTAGCACCAGCACAGGTTCTTCTATGAGGATGAAATTAGGGGTCTGGATCCGTGGCTTCCGTGGTTGTCAATCCTCTGGAGACCATCGCCACTTACCACTTTGACCCTTTAAAATGTCATTGATCACCCAGTGACCCTGAGGCCACACCTATAGCTGATTAGGTCTGGAGGTGTTCTAGGCTCCTGGAGAAACGTAGGTGTGGATCTCCTCTTCCTGTGGGCAGCTGTCACCCACTCCAGGCTTCACGGGTCTCAGTGGGAGCAGGAGGGTTTTTGTGCCGTGCTCTGTGCTTGTGACTGCAGCTCTGGGTTCAGTTCAGCCCTGGTGCCCAGCACAAGGAGCAAGCGGGAACAGGCACAGGCCCTGTCCTCGGAACCGACAATCTGCTGGGAAGACAGAGATGACATAATTGGAGGTGTGAGATATAATTGGAGATGTGATGCGTGACACTTGGAAGTGGCGTGTGGCAGGCGTGTTCACAAGATGTGGCTTGGGGGGTCATGGGAGGCTATCTGGAGGAATGTTCTTAAAGTCTGAGGAGTGTGAAGGGGTTGCCAGGCAGAAAGAAGAGGCATGTGAGAGCAGGAAGGAGGGACTTTCACCAGAGGCCAGGCTGAAGGGGTGTAAGGTGTGTGTTGGGAGAAGCGGGGGTGGGCAGGCTCATGTTTTTAAAGGGTCACTGGGACTGCAGTGTGGAGATTAGGTGGGGGCATTATAAGATTGGAAGCCCCCTAGGAGGTTGTGGTGGTGGGGACATGAAGTGACCATGGGAATGGAGTGAGCTGGGATAGAGCATAGCACCGGGGATGGAGGAGTGGAGGGTGGGTAGGTTAAAAGAAGTGGGTGAGGGGCTGGGGCTCAGTGGCAGAGCACTTGCCATGCACGTGTGGGGCACTGGGTTAGATCCTCGGCACCACATAAAAATAAACAAATAAAATAAAGGCACGTGGTCCATCTACAACTACAAAAAAAAAAAAGACAAGTCGGGGAGATCAGCTTCAAAGTGGGAGGTGGGCGGAGCCATGGAGCCATGACTTAGTTTTAACTTCCTGGGACCAGGCAGGGGAAGCTGGTGGCCTTGCTGCTTTATTCATTTTGTGGTGAACATTGATGCGGAAGTTTAGGGGCCTTAAAATGTCACTGTGATTCACTGGGAGTTTTAAAGGCAGAAGAAGTCTCTGGAGATTGTGGGGAAAGGAAGAGGGATGTCAGAGGCTGGGATAGACTTCCTGCATCAGTGCAGGACTGATCTCAGTGCCTGGCGGGAGTTGGAGAGGTTGATAGAAACTAAAGAACTGGACTGTGAGACCGCTTAGGTCCTCCCTGGGCTCTTCTCTTGAACTGTACTTACTGGGAGCCTCTTGTCCTCAGCTGCAGAACTTTGTCTTGGGGAACAGTAAGAGGGCAGACTTGGGTGTGTCCCCAAGCTGGCTCTGAAACTAACTGAGAATTTTCTTTGTGCCTGTGTCATTGGAAATGAGTCACATTTTGCTCTGGGGAACTGCGAGTGCCCACAGTCTTAAGATGCTTAAGAATTGAGCATCTCGGGGCTGAGGCTGTAGCTCAGTGGTAAAGTGCTTGCCTCACAAGTGTGAGGCACTGGGTTCAATTCTCAACACCATCTAAAAAAAAAGATACTGTGTGTTCATCTACAACTAAATAAATATTAAAAAATAAAATTGAGCATCTGGCCAGCTGTGGCCCTCCCTGCCTCATGAGCAGCCTGTCCACCCCCCTCCTCGATCTCACATACTTCTCTGGGTTTTCTTGGCTGCAGGAATTGGATTCAAGTATGTGGCACTGGGAGACCTTGTCATCCTCATCACTTTCGGCCCACTAGCCGTGATGTTTGCCTACGCTGTCCAGGTTGGGTCCCTGGCGATTTTCCCTCTGGTCTACGCCATCCCCCTGGCCCTCAGCACCGAGGCCATCCTACATTCCAACAACACCAGGGACATGGAGTCCGACCGGGAGGCGGGCATCGTCACGCTGGCCATCCTCATCGGCCCCACCTTCTCCTACGTGCTCTACAACACGCTGCTCTTCCTGCCCTACCTGATCTTCAGCATCCTGGCCACACGCTGCAGCATCAGCCTGGCGCTGCCCCTGCTCACCATTCCCATGGCCTTTTCTCTCGAGAGGCAGTTCCGCAGCCAGGCCTTCAACAAGCTGCCCCAGAGAACGGCCAAGCTCAACCTCCTGCTGGGGCTCTTCTATGTCTTTGGCATCATCCTGGCTCCAGCGGGCAGTCTGCCCAAGCTCTGAGGGGACCGGCAGCACCCGCACAGCACGGCCCTTTTTCTTAGAACGCCAAAGTCCTAAGAAGCAAATGTGAACTTGGCAGGGCGGGTACTGAGCATGGGCTGTGAGCTCCTGTCTTTTTATATGATTATAATGTTCTTAAAGGTGATCTGTTTTGTTTTTCCCTGTTATGAAGAATCCTGAAAACCGCTGTGCCATCAGAAGAAGGCAGACTGGACAAGAGTCCTTGTTTTATGTGTGGTTTCCACTAGAGGGTGTTGTCAGGTCACTTTAAAATGTCTTGTTCCAGACATAATGTCCCAAGACTGCAGGAGCTGCTGGGTGGCCTCCTATCCTGATGAGCCATCAGCTAGGCACAGTGCCCACCTATTGTCCTGGGCACATAGGACATGGTAGTAATTGGTGTCAGGGCCCATTAATATGGAGGGCACCTGTCTCTTACTCAGCACTCGTGTCCTGAAATATGCTGCTTGGGGGAGAAAGTCCCTCATTAGCAGCGTTGTGTGGCTCCTGGCTTTTTGCCTAAATTATGATTCTTTTGTCCTTCATCTCTCCTTTTACTTATAGTCACAGTTGAGGAAAAGTTTCGGATCACCCTGCAGCAAGACAATCAAGTTAGGGACTGGGAAGAAAAAGCCCACCCTGAAGGCAGCTGAGAAAAACCACTCTGCTTCTGGATAGAAATTAGTAGGGTGTCTCTTTCCCTTTGTTGAATCCACTAGAATGACAGGAAGAACTCCCAGCCCTTTTGATAACCTTCTGGAGCCTGGAAATTATAGAAGCCCGGCTGTCCCTGCAGGCTTCTTAGAGCCTGTAGTGATTTTCCTCTGAATTGCCTCTCCTAATTCTCTCCCCTGTGCACCCTGCACCCTGCGCCTCTGTCCAGTCCCTGTGTGTGTTTCCCATCTGTGGAGCCAGACTATTTGGCAACACCTGAGTCAGGGACAGTTGCCATTTTCCACGGAGCCACAGTTGGGCAGCGCATGGACCCAGTGAATGTACAAGCCACTGCACAAAAGTCCCGGGCCTTGTTCAGCCAGAGTGACAGGCCCTGCGTACAGAGGAACACGTCTTCATCCTTGGAGACAGATGTCCAATATGGACCCTGCCTCTTTCTGGGCTTCAGTTGCTTTGTGCAAAGGTATTCAGGGCTTTGGCAAGGTCACAGCTCAGGGGTCATTCAGTGTCCACCGTGCTGCTCTTCATCACTTTGCCTACGAAGTGTAACTTCTGGGCTGGAATCGCTAGGTTGCTTTGGGTCTAAGACTGAACTAGATTGAGTCAGTCATGCTGTGCTTCCCTGTGGTAGTGGTTGTTCAGGGAGGAATAGCAAGATCTCGGCCTGCAGAAAATGACGTAAGAACTCAACCCTTCAGATCAGGCTAATTGTGACTTTGAGTGAGAATTGGAAAAAACATATATGGAAATTGCAAAAGTTGCTCTGAAGTTAAGGTGATTTGTCTCCCAGAGAGTGAGTGTCCTGGAATTGTGATTGGGGCCCAGGGACAAGGGGCTTCTCTCCTGCAATTCTTCCCAGCACCGTTTTTGTTTCATGCCAGGTGTGTGGCATTTTGGTGCTCACAGGGGTCCTACCTTCAGAGATGTGCCTCTGACTTCTGTTTGGAGCTGACCGTGTTCATGTGGGGCTCACCTCAGAGGCTGGAGGCTGAGGCCCCAGGCTCCCAGCATCCACAGACCAATCCTGCCTTGAGGCTGCTGCCATTAGAATTATCAGTCAGCTTCTGATAACCAGCTGCTCTGGTGCAGATTTTAATATGTATTTTTTATATGAATGATCCCAAAAGGCCATATTTAGTGCCAGGTTTTTTATGCATGTGATCATAATTTATATTATGTGCCCAGATTCAATGAAGGTCTTCTGTGGACTTGTTAATTTGAAAAAAAAGAAAAAAAAATGTTCATCAGTGGTCTGGCCTCCAGTTTTTCTTCGCCTTCCTCCTACTTATGTCAGATTATAAACTCTTATGCATAAATCTCTAGGGAGACCAGGGCAGGGACATTGGGACATGTGGGGTGGGGGAGGGGCCCTGATCTTTGGTGATGAATTGGATAGGGTTTGACCAGATTTGACAGGCCCTTTGGAAAGGCAGTGGGGACCACATGTTCTTCTCTCCTACTATGTTTTTCTCATCTAAAAGAGTCCCTGTGCTAATAGATTGAAAACATATAGCAGACAGAATGTGTTTGGGTTTCAGCTAGGCATGTGACAATATATCCTAACAAACAAGGCAGAGGTACATGGGATGGCTAGCACTGTACTTAATGAAAGCCCAGAGGGAGCTAAGGGGTAGGCTGCTGCCCGCACTCGGAGCCTTGCCCCTGGCCCTTAGCTGTTATTAAGGACTGGAATGAGACGGCTCAAATTGCAGGTTCCATGAACCTTGGAGGAAGAGCTTATAAAATGACTGACAATTAGGATGCCCATAAATCAGGAGGCTGCTTTGATGGGCCAGAGGAAAAAATTAAACATGAATAAATACAAAGCAATATACTTGAGTCCTTAAAATCAACAGTATAGCATTGGGAAGGGGGCAGTTCATATTGTGACCACAGACGTGGGAATTAGTTTTATGAATGACAATAGAATACAACATCACATGCCTTTATTTCTTGGGAGTTAGATTTACTCTGATCCTTTGTTGGGTAGTTGGAAATTAAATCTCAGTTGCTTCTTGGGTCCCCTCCTATTCCTCTAACATTGCCCAGGATTTGGGCCTCGGTGGGAACAAAAGTCAGGTATCTCCTGCTCCTTTTGTTCATCCTCTACAAGGTTGACCCTGTGTGAACTGGTGCTGGGGTTCAGCCATGGTGCTCTCAAAGGGTTCAGAATACCCCTCCCTGCTGACAAGTCGTGTAGGCTTGTGGGGCACTGGTCCCTGCCACCCCATGCCCATTCTGCCCAGCCTCAGGAAACTACCCTTCTTTCCATGATCTCCCCCATCCACCTCTCCTGTCAAAGCATAGCTCTCCTTCCCTACTCTCTCCTGGACCTTTGCACAGAATCCTACCTGGAGGACCTTGGATGTTATTATCAAACTTGGAAGCTCAGTGCTGGCCTCTCCTGGGGCCAAGTGGGCAAAGAAGTTGTAAATACATCACATTCTGTCTTCCTAATGGTTTTGTTACGCCCAAAATCTGCACCTGGGACTTGGCCCTAAGCTCAGTTTGAGTAATGACCTTTGTGAAGGTTGATGGGATCAGAGGTGAAGTGAACGGGAGATGGGTGTCCAGAACAAGGAAGGCGGAAGTCCTGTTCATCCTGTCCTGGCCATTTCACACGGAGTGGGCTGGGGCCAGTCCTGGGCACCTTCTTTGATTCTTTTTTCTAAATGGAGTCAACATGGTGGTAGATGGAGTACAAGCTGTGGATATCTTAGAACTCAAGGACACATTTGGTGACGTGATGTGAAATGTGGGTGAAGTGTAGCCAGAGAAGCTTCGCCTCCATGGGCACCCACGTGTGTGCACCTATGTATGTTTTTGCATTGGTAACAGCTGTAGCCGGGATTTGACATTTCTCAGTATGGGGATCACATTTCAAAGATATTATTATCAAACTGGATCTTGTCCAGAAAGCAGTTGGCAGACGGTCAGGGACACATGAAACCACGTCGGCACGTGATGTCGGCACGGGAGACCCGCAAGAGGAGAGACCTGCAAGAGGGCTGACTTGGGGAAGGAGCATCGGGCTTTGTGTGTGACTTCCAGGAAAAAACTGGAACCAATTGGTGGAAGCTGTATGTCCCCAGGTTTAATCTCTTAGGTCAGGAAGAACTTTCTAGCCATTGATGAACTCAGCAAGTGGGAGGGTCAGAACATCCCAGTGGGTGGTGAGTTCCCTGTACCTGGAGGCATTCAGGAGAAAGGATGACTCCTTTTTGGGATCATTGAAGTGAAGAGTCACATCAGAGAGGGGTGGGGAGAAGACCTTTAAGGGTTCTCCAGTTCTGCAATACAGTTGTTCTTTTATGGGATCACTTCTTAGACCTGCCCCCAGGGGTTGGGAGGACAGAGTGCAGGAAACATGGACATGTCTTCCAGGCGTGAAAGTGCTGTCTACCCCTACCTGCATTTCAACAGGCGTAGCTGGTGTTGGTATTCCTTTCTTGTTTTTTTGGTTTTTTTTAATTAAGATTATATATATATATATAGGTACCCGTACAAACGCCTGCACACACAGTACGTTTCACCCCCGAAAGCCCTTGAAGTGAGGTGAGTGACAGCTCCTCGCCTCTGAGCCCGTGGACGGCTCTACTGCTAATGGACTCTCAGCCTCTTTCATTACTGGCTCCAAACTGTGCGAGCTGGTGTAAAAGTAATGCCTCTGGCAAGAACCTGCACTTGGGTCTCAGCCAGTTGACATTTGTGATTTGCCCTTCTTCAAATTGGGACAGCCCTCCCTTGGCGTGATAAGCCAGGTGGCCAAACAGTGGTGCAAACCCGGTAAGTTCCTGCCTGAAGCCCTGGCAGCAGGGGCTGAGCCTGACCCAGCGGGAGGCTGGGAAGTGGTGGAGGACCAAGTATGAGGAAGGCTGTAATTATAAGGCTCAGACCCACCTCCGGACGCAGGAGCTCTGGAGGGACGATGAGGGTCACATGCTCCCACCAGGCAGAGTCAGGGAGGAGAACAGGAAGTTGTCTGGGGTCCCACTCAAGGGGGCAGGGCTCTGTGGCGGCTTCAAGGGCCTCCAAGCCCTTAGCTCTGCACCAACTCCCCATCCTCGCCCCTCACTTCCCCCGTTAGGGCCACGAGAGGTTCACCTGGGACAGCAACGGGACACGTGTTCCACATACAGTTGTCAGCGTGGTTTGAACAGTTCCCCCAGCAGTGGGGAGGAGCTGCGCAGGGCTGTGTGTCACGTATCATCCCGTCTCAGAACGACTGTGGTGGCAAGGGTGCACTCGGTTAGGTGGTTGTTGAGTGGCTGAGCTGCACAGACTGGCTGGGCAGACAGGCGTGAGTCTGGCAGACCGGGGCATCCGCTGGCTGACCCTGAGCAGGGAGGGCGGCAGGTTCCCCTTGGGCTTGGAGTGGAAGGAAATACAACAGTGACTCTAAGGTCTTTTAAGGTCCAGCTCATATTCCTGGCACTTGGAGGGCTCTAAATAAGTGTTGGATGAGTGACTAAGTGACAGTAATAAAGCTGTCATGGGTCGCATGCTCCCTGGGTGCCAGGCGCAGCTCTGCAGCCTCAATATGTTGTCTTAATGCTCATAGGAGCCCCACGAAATGGTGTCAAGGTCTCTTTTTCACAAGACAGGAAGTTGAGGTTCAGAGAGATTATTGAACTTGTTCAGGGTCACCCAGCTAGTAAGTGACAGGACCATGATTCAAACCTTGGTCCATTTCAGTGCAAGCTCTGTGCCTGTGACCATCTTTGTGTGCCCTGCAGCGCCCTGTGCACGAGGTCTCCACCCACTGGTCCGCCCTTGGAGTGGGAGGTGGCGGTGAAGGGGAAGCGAGGCTGACTGGCCAGTGCCTGGGAGGGGCTCCAGAAGGATCCGAGCCCAACGTGGCCGTCACAGTTCCCAAGATTCTTAGGCAGAGGCTCCTAGAATTGCCCAAGTACGTAAGTGACTGAGTCAGCTACAGTCCCTCGGAGGCGGCCCATGTGTCAGTGCTGTGGAGGTGGCTCCCATCAGGGTGGGCCAGCTGCTTCCTGGCCGGCAGCGTTCCAAGGTGGGAAGCAGAAAGGCTGAGACCCTGTGGAGGAGGCGAGCAGGTGGGGGAGAGGAGGAGGCATGAGCCTGCCGAGCTGCCCCCAGGTCAGCCCTGGCCTGCTGTGCTCTGGTCTCCACATTAGGTCCCCTCAGCCCGGCCCTGTGCCCTCCAGCCCCCCAGTCGGCTCTGTGGGCATAATAATCAAGCCTGCTTATCTAACCTGCTCTGACTTGCGGGGTCAAATTTTCTTGTCATAGACTGTGCTTCCCTGCACAATGGAGACCCACCTACAATGACAGGGAAAGGTCCATTCTCAGGTTCAGTCTGGGTTTCTGTCCCTCATCTGCCAAGCTTTGATTTCCTCTCCTCTCCAGCCACTGAATCCGGTGCCCACATGCAGGAGCGGCTGCCCGTGTGCCCAGAAACTGCCCAGCAGCTCTGCCTCCTGGGAGCACAGCTGGCCTGCTGGGGAGGCATGGAGGGAGCCCCTCCGCCTTCAGGGAGACACAGAGGCTCCACCTTTGGGAAAGCAGTAGAATAACACCAGCATCTGCAAGGCATCCTGGGTAGAGTTGAGGCTGGGGGATGGTGCCAGTCAGGAAGGCTTCCAGGAAGAGGTGACAGCAGGGATCAAGGTTGTGGAAAGAAGTAGCCATGAGAGATTGTTCTCCTGGACACTAAGGTGCTGGTGGACAGTTGTCCCCTACTGCCTGCCTTCTCAAACTGGGGAAAGCCCCCAACTGCTGCCTGAGAGAGCCAGTGGTGGATTCCTGCCAGCCTCTCTGGCTGCGCAACCAGAGGACTGGAGTGTCAAGGTCAAACCTCCTAGAGGGTGAGAGCCTGGCACCTTCCCGCGGAGAAACAGCCAGGAGGGGTGATAGGGTATTTAACCAGCTGAGGCTGGCGCTGCCTAATCAGATGAATGACCTGAGGGATGGGCCAGGAAGGCTTTGCGTGGAGCAGGGCACGTGTGCGTCTCCTGTGGACAGCAGGTGCCCCCAGGTCTGGGTGTGCTGAGGCCAAGGGAACGCTCACCGCGGAGGAGCGCACACAGGGGAGGGGCTGCAGAGCCTAGGTCTTCCAGCTGGCCACACCTTTACCGAGAGCCCACTCCATCCCAGGAGGACTCACACCGAGCTGGTGGAGAAAGCCCACGCAGAAGTCGTCTCAGTGCCGCCCCACCACGTGTCTTGACAGAGGCTCAAAGGGCCGTGGGAGAAGGAGGGCAGAGGACACT